ATCTTACCCATGTTGTCTTTTTATTTTGTGTCATGTAATTCCAAAAGGCTTCTTCTTCCTCTTCTTCCTCCTCCTCTTCCTCCTCCTCCTCTTCCTCCTCCTCCTCTTCCTCCTCCTCCTCTTCCTCCTCCTCTGTATCTCTACATTCCCTTCCACTCAACCGATCCTCCAGCCCGGGCATCATATTCCAACACCGTAAACCCCATTCATTGCTCCTATTCACCACCTACACATGCCCCTATATGCCTCTAACCTTTGGCTGCAATCTCCCGTACTTTCCTACTAGGCACTAACCTATCCCAATATCCAGGTCCGTCCTCCAAGCCCCTTTCACTCCGTTCATAGTGGTCTTCTGCAACGCGATCTCACAGTGCGATCCCTCCGACCTCTCCTTCCTCTCCGAGTTTGTCTCCTCTCTCGAATCCTGCCGTACCGTCTCAGAAGGCACCGACAAGCTCTACAAAATGTGCCACACGTTCTTCCAAGTTGCAAAATTGTACGTCGAAGCTAAAACAAAGGACGCGCAGCAACAAGCGCAACAAGAGGGACAATACTTCGTCACAGCGGACGGCGAACAGAACTTGGATTTGAGCGCCATGACACAGTTCGACCCCTTTTTAAGTGCACTAGGTCTTGTGCCGAATTCGGCTTGGCCGATGGCGACGTTTCCGCCGGCAACGTCAGGGCAGGACGCATCGGCAGGGTTTCAGGGCGCAAAGGGTGGGTTCGACAGTCTGCCCATGGGAAATGTGAATACGGTGCAGGACTGGTTTTCGGGGAGTAGGTATATCATGGGCCTTATGGAGGAGGATATTAATATGTTGGATGAGAATCTGTAAATGGGTTTATGCAAGTGTACTTTTAGGGATAGATATAGAGTGACTCTCCCTCTCCAGGAATGCTACGTACTGCTTGACATATCACCGTAGCCTTTTACTACATTTTGGTGCGCGACCAAGATGATGAGTTAATTCAGCATCTCGACGCGGGATCACATGCTTGTACGGTTCGTGCTCCAGACACTATTGCAACCTTGAATCTCAGGCTTCAGTAAACATCCTCCCTCACGCTTCGTATCGGGGACATGTCCTTGCTACATCTGGAGATGCATAATCGCTTTCAGCTCCTCTGAGTGCCTCCAGGATCTCATGACTACCCGCCGCATTCCTAAGCTAAACCCCACTCAAGCCTTCCACCCATCATGAGCAACCAGCCAGTCCCGGAAGACATCGCTCGCGACGACCTCCGTCCCATCTGCCACTTCCTCCCATCTTTTTAAGCTCTGTGAAAGGATCGTTAACCCAGTTATCAGCAAGAAGGGGTTATGAAGGTTGGGTGAGAGAAGCAACCTATTTGTTGAAATAGAAGAGGGTTCAGGACGGTCGGTAGGTTTCAGCGTTGGGATTCGAGGCACTGCCAACCATGGCTGTATGATCAATCAGTGAGTGTTACCTACATGAGAACGGATGCGAACAATCTCACCTGCGCAAACACTTAGAACTATACGAGGGAATTGAGGGACTTTTAAAGGGTGGGAGACGCGAGGATATGTGGTAAACGTTCGAATGACTCCGAATCCGATGATGTTAACTTGAACATGCGTTATTGAAACCGCATCTTGATGCATGATTTAGCATTGCTTTACTAATGGAAACGGAAGTTGGAGAGGTGGAGAGAGGTAAGTAGAAGGGCGGATGCGGTGGGGATAGATTCTCAGCAGCAGATTCAGGTTTACGAGGCTTTTAAGAAGGTTGATCTATGTTCGCAGCTGGGGAAGATGAAGCGCTCGGTTGTCGTGTCCAAGCAGAGTGTAACAGTGAAAACCGGTACCCAAGGGATTACGCTAGAAGTGGAGCAGATAACGAAACAAACGTTACACATGTTAGTGTTCAAGGTTGGTGGAGAAGGGAGCAGAGGGAAGTTGAAGGCTGGTAATTTACCTCGTGGGGAGGCAAGGGCCACCCCTCCAGTGTCTGACCCAAAAGTACACCAACTCCAATGGCATACGTTGCCTTGGGTACCCAGGGCTTTAGCGACTACAATCGCCTTGCAACGTCAGTTCAAGGTGCCTAAACAGCTGGATTGCGAGCTCAGTGGTAGATATGGGAAATGGCGTAAGGTGCTGGCATGGTTGGTACTTTGCTAGTTTGAACATGCCTCCCGTAGCTCAACAAGGGGATGCAGCTATATTAAACCTTCGATATGGAAGAACGCAGTGCGGAGTAGGAAAATGGTGGCACACCGCCAACACAATTTGAAGACATCACCCTGTACCTTGCCGCACACCTTCCTAGTGCAATCAAAACCCCTCTTCCAGAAGGAGTAAAATTGGCACTATAAGGCCTTCCGTAGACATGAAAGCTCTGCGTACGTAGATCAAGACATGTCTTTGGCTGTGGTGCGGTTTTCAATATACAGGAGATCAGGTCAGCTAGCTTTAAGGCGCTGCAGCCGCGGATGCTGAAATTTAGATGGGCGATTAGGGGTCTGTTGAGTTAGGCGTAGGAGACATGAATTTGCCCATAGAAATCCTCACGGGGACTTGGGTGCTTAGGAAGATGTAATATGGAAGAGAAAAGTAGGATAGTAACCGCGGTAGGCCAACAAGCAACACCGCCTCTATGGATATCACTAGCCATTTACAACCCAAACGGATGAAATCTTCATGTACTTCTTTGCAGGAGTTTGAAAGAGATTTGACCCGATCCTTCCTCCTCGCCCTCATTTAAACAGCTACGGCTTGCTAGACATTTTTCCAGAGTTAAATTTTTGAATACTCTCAAATTGCGGTCTAGTTTGCGGCGTTCCCAAGCACACCGCAAGAGTTGCGCAATATCTAGAAATGCCATCAGCGGACACGTTAAGTTCCCGAACTGGATATGGAGGCTTACGCTGCGGTTGCCGCGAGTACTTCATGATGCTCCGCCCTCGAATAAAAGGCTACTGAGCACGAGAAGATGAGGGTGGAGAAAAAGAGGACGCCAACACATGCTCCATATACTTTGCTGCCTCCGACCTCTGTCACAAGGATGTAGCATATCAGAACTGGTAGCACCAAAAGAACTGCCATGAAGAATGCCACGATGGCTGTGGCAAGTCTGGAGATCCTGGTGGCGTTGTAGTAGTGCATGAATTTATCGACGGTCTTGAGACGCGTCTTCAGACCAACCCGTTAGCGTACCTAGGACACGGCACCTCAAGCATCACTGAACAAACCTTATCTGTAAACCATCTCAAATAAGTACATTAGCTATGAAAGAACGATGCAATGTTAGTTCACATACTGTAAGGAATTGTAAATTCAAAATTTGTATGGTTCACTCGACATGGGCTTCGAGCCAATCAGATTCTTTTAGAGGTCGAAGAGCGACCAAGTCCCCTTTCAGCCTGATCGATTTTTCTTCATCTTCTACGATAGGCTTAATACCATAAACGTAGCTTAGGACGCTATCATAATCGCGTTGTGTTGGTCTCTCGAATGATCGCATTTGCTGTACTGCGGTCATGAGCTCAGCTGAGCGACGGTCAGTCCTGCGAAGTGAGAGAAATCAAAATTAGAAGGGGAAAGAAGATTCCCAGTAGCGCCGTAGGAGAAAGTAGCGGAGATTTACTCACCATACTCTCAAAAGTGCTTCTCAGCATCGGGAAATAGTCTTCGTCGATTTACTGTTGCTTCATTTTCCGGGCCTACCGTACTAACCATTCTTAACCTTGACGGCTCTTCTTTACCATTGTCTTCATCTATCAAGTCAAATTCGCGCTCCATTTCTATAAGCCTGGGCGGTTTTCCTAGCAAAAGTCTCGTTTGGAAGTATCCAAACTTACGAAAGGCCATAAAATTCTTATCGCAACCCAGAAATGTGGCCAACGTGAAATAACCTTGGGCTGAATCCTCTAGCCCCCGTGTACTAAGTTCCTATTGCTCCACACAAGTTGGTTTCTTTGATGATGCTTTCTGGAGACTCTTGAGCGTTTCTCTCTTGGGTTATGCTGATCAGGAGCAGAAGCTGGACGGAATTAGCTGGCTTTCATTCATCAAGTTCAAGATGAATGAGCACCTTGTTGCTGTACCGACAGAAACTAAATTGTGCATAAATCGGTACCGCTACCAGACCATGTACGTCCGCGCTTGGAATGCTGCGGACCTTAGGAGCAAGGGCGTCCTCGACGAGAGTCCTACTTCCCTGGAACCCAGCCGCGCTTTCATCCAAAGGTTGGTTGTGTGAAGGGTTGTGGTGTGACCTGTATGCGTTACAATATATGTAGGAACCTTTCCCTTCCGCTGATCGAACTACTGTATGTACTCATCGACGTGTTGCCGTGGACCCAAAGTATGCTCCATTCGGATTCACCAGCCTCTTAGATCTCGCCATGCGGTCGGATTTTGCCAAGCTTAGAAGTGAGCGCTACGTGTAGTTCTTCTGCAATGAGATGTCTTAGGCAACAGTGCCGGGCGCGCTAAGCTTGAGCACTGCATCTGAGTTTCGATGTTTCCCACGCCTCTGCCACTGTAGCACAAGGTGCTGTACGTGGGCGCTGCGGCCCGGCTTCCAACGAATTCATTGTAGCTCTTCAGATTTTAACTCTGGAAAGGAAAGGAAAGGAGGAAGAGATCAACTTGTTATACGCTCTTAGAAATGCCCTAGTCTGAAGTGATGAGTCGGAGCTCATATCCCTCTAGCTGCAAGCCCGAGCGCGTCTTGCAGGTCCTAATAAGTTGTTCCAGGTGCCACATGCGGCTGCGGCTCGAGGTAGAGACTAAAGACGAGGCCCGATTACAACTTTTCAGGGATTTGTGCGTTTATGATACAGTCAAATTGTTGATCGAATGGGCTTCCGTGGTGTTGAGAGGGATGAGGGGTAATGAAGTGGAGTTAAAAAGAAAAGAAAAGAAAAGCGAAGAATCTGAGATTCGAACGCAATAAACTTACAAAAAGAAAAAGAATATATAGCTGAAAACGGTTTCGATCCGTTGCTTTTATTTGTTAGAATATGAACTATGAAGAAATAGGGGATATGAACTTACTCCTCCGGGTTATGAGCCCGGCGCGCTTCCGCTGCGCCATTCAGCTTTTAATTGAATAATTTGAAAAATTAATTAAAATATAAACATGTGGGTATAAGCGATATCGACTTCGGCTCTGAACGCTTTTAGATTTTTACGCTAAGCCACATTGCCAAGACTCTTGTACCAACGCTAGAATGATTCTGGCTAGCTGCTTCTATTCCTGCATCCACCTAATTTGATTGCTACTCTCCAGTCTACGGTGGCCGTAGCGACAAGGTGTTTGCAAAGCGGTTCTCTTAAAGACTTCACCCGTTTCGCGCGATTCACCCTGGTTGCAGGCCAAAGAGCTATCAGCGTCTTGGCCACAATTCCCCGGATCTTACTCAAACCCCACTTAAGCGCCATTTCGCCTCCGGCAATGGAGCCGACAGCGGAATTCCGGTTACCCACTTTCCCTAGTCGGTCTCCATAGCAGCTCAAGATGGTGCAATGGGATATGGCTGCAGTCATTGTGGCTATGATCAGCGTCTCTTTGATGTTATCACCCGCTACGCTCAGCATACTGAGAGCCGCACACAGACTTGTACTGTTATGTCTTCGTCCAACCTCGGGTCGCTGCGAACGGTTGGAATGGTCCGATATACCTGAGGGTGTTCTCGCAGAGTGTGAAACGAACTGTCCAAGGTCCGGCTCATGGGCCACCCCACATGACAACTGCTGGAATTCGTCAATAGGCAGTACTTTTCCCAAGGCATGGACATCTGCTGCACGACGAGAAAAGTGGGTTAGGAAACCGAAGCAGCTCGACCCGACCAAGAAATATATAAGAACGGATGTACGCACCTTAAAAGCTTATCTTCTCATGAATAGATATAAGGGTACAACATGGGATTCAAAGACTGGCAAGTCTGTTGATCAGGGCCCTACCATTCAATTTTCAGATGTAAATGGAGTCTTGACGGCTCATCTATACTGTCACCCACGAAGACACCACTGTGGTCGTACTAAATTGGAGGTCGAACGCATCTTGAACGGTTATCCACAACAATATCAAGAGTTCATCAGTGTTAGTCAGGTCTCAATGCAGGGGACACGTAAGATCACCCATCCGCCTATGCCTGCCAAATCCGTCTTAATTCCGTCACCAATTCGAGAGGTCGAGGATGTATACCGTGGCGGTTGGATAATTGGAGTAGGACTTGACGTACGGGGCATCAGATTATCGACACTGTGGTATCCACCAGTGTCTACCATCGGCCACGTACTTGAAGCGGAGACAATGGCATTGCATGGCCACACAGTCAAGTATCTCAACCCTGAATACAGAGCTATTAGTCGAGTGAGGCTCGTGCTCTCTCGGCTCCTTGAGGAATTTCCTGACGAAGGAGCCATAGTCTGGACTCTGCAGTTCATGGACGTATTCTTCAAGAGCTACTACAAGGACAAGGAATATCCTGGGCTTCAGAACGTAAACCATGGCCCTACATCAAGTGCGGACGTTGAACAACTTGCGACTGGATGCCCAGTGCCACCACATATCCATAGTTTCTGGGAGTGGTATATTCACAACTCACAGCTGTTTCCCGGGGGGGCTACATTTTATGACCGAAGTTATGGGGCGATGCTGAAAGCGGAAGAGTGGGTACGAGTAATGCAACTATTCAATATGGCCCAGCCTTTAGCGGAGAAAGATGTTATACTTTTACGGGGTAGGCTGCTGCCAGTCTTACGGGCGGTTGCGAGGGGTGTTTATGATGTCCTTGGCCGTCCAGCCATGATAAGGGATCGATTGCCTGAGATGCCGGAGTTGAATGGGAAGAAGTACATATACCTTCACGAGTGTACCGGCGAAGAAGAGTAGTGCAAGGTGTGGGATCGCCAGGCTAGAACCATCATGTGCCTCGCGATGATGATTACTTGAAAATGGTGCAAAGGGTCGCAGCCAGGCACGTTATCTTCTACAAGTTAGTTGACAAGAGGGCTTGGCTCATTGACGGGGCCAGTGGCCTCCTGCACCTTGTCATGCGAGGCCTGAAGTATCTTTCCATGATGCAGTGATAGAGAAGTTGAAGGGTGTATATCGTAATCTCCTTTCAAGATTTTTTTTGAATTTCATATTGTGATCTTTCGAATGAACGACCAGTTTGTGGCCATGGACGCAGACACTCTTTTGTATTTCGAGCTACCAATCTGCGGACTACTGCTCTAATCATCGTCTTACTGATATAATGACTTACACGAGAATGACCCCCCTTCGTAGTTCATCGCGCTTCCTCATCCTGCGGTCGCTTTCTCTCTATGTAGTCTGCGTTCTATTCATCAAGTTGGCTGACTTGATTGCTGGCTGACTTCCGTCGTATAATGCCTACAAGCACAAAGGTGCAGGATTGAACGTAGCTGGAGCTTTCATCACGTGGATGCAGGGTAAATCAGCTCTTTCCAGAAGGATGCTAGTGCCTGCGGAAGCGTCTTGACAATGTGGCTTGTATTTAAATACTAGAAGTGTTCAAGGCGCAGGCCGATTTCGCTAGCGACTGTAAAAAGCGAGGAGTTCGTGCGATTCTCTCTAGGCGAATCGCGGTAGGCTTTCCTTTGCCGCTGAAAACCGAAAACCCAAGAAGGACCGTGCATAGTCAAATAATCATCAAACCAAGAGTAAGAAAATTGTTAAAGGAAGGATATGAAGTATGCATAGTATACTAAACAATACTCAGAGGTACATAAGTTGAGGTTGAGATGAAAGAGCACGTGACTGCACAGACAATTTCGATGACATAAAGTGGTCTGTGCTCACTCGAACGCGTTTCTCTATTCACGCGTTCCTATGTACTCTACACAATTCACCCCACCATCATTCACCATGAGTAATGACGACAATCTTATCATGAATCTATGAGTGAATACTCACCAGGAATACCCTCTTCGTTTGATCCTGCCGTATTTCTACACTCCGAACTAGACCCCCCAGACGCGCCAGCGTCGCTCTCCCACTCCGACGAAATCGAGGCATTACAGCAGTGTATTGTAGAAGAAACAGCCGAGAAGAATAGACAAGGCATTGTTATACAACACAGAGCTTGGAACACGGCGGAAGTCTTTCATAGTGACGAGGATTATTCTATTGGTACAATTTTACGATACACCCGATATGTACTTGGAATCGAATCTAATCAAGCTCAGATACTCCTTTAAGAAGCCTGCAACCTTCGAAAATTACGCGCCTGATTTCAGGCTCCTCATCTGACGATCCACTGCTTCCATCCTCCCCACCTAGCTTCACGATGCCTCTGATCTCCTCACCCGTTACCTACCCACCTAGCTCCTCCCCGAAACTCGCGTCGCCGAAGAAACGAAAACGATCGGACGCGGCAAGAAGCCCTCTGAGTGATGTACATATCAATCAACCTGCCAAGAAGGTCGGAGGATTTCTGGATGAATCGGATGACGAAGACGAACTACTCGCTCTCAAGGAAGCACAAATTAAGAGGAGAGCGATTAGCAGTATCAAGGACTTACCCTCGCAACCTGATCTTGTAGCAGATTATACCCCGCCTGCAAGTCAGGATGAGGTGGTGGATCCCGAGACTGTTCCGGTTGGGGATTTGGATGATTATTTCAACTCTTCACCCGTGAAGCCCACACAAGCGATACCGGAAGAACCTGCGTCGTTCCAACCAAAGCGAGGACTTACGGCTAAGACGTTATGTGGGAAGTCTTTCTATATTCCGAAGAAGTTGTCAAGTAAAGCGCTTTCGTATGAGCAGTTAATCGCGTCCCGTTCTGTCGCTGTGGAAGGACGAGCGAGGAAGAGCTACTATGGGATCGATATTCATCAGTTGATGGATGATGCCAAGAAACTGGATAAGGAAAAGGCGAAAGAGCAGGAGAACTTGAACAGTGATATGCCCCAAGAATCAATTGAGCAGCCAGCGGCCGAGACCAAGTCGAGCAAGAGCAACAGGACTTTGATGTGGACGGAGAAATACCGTGCAAAAAAGTTCACAGACCTAGTCGGCGACGAACGAACTCATCGTTCAGTACTCCGGTGGCTGAAAGGATGGGATCCGATTGTCTTTCCAGGTTCAGCTAAACCAAAGCCAAAAGGCGCGAAGAAAAATGCAAATGAGCACGAGGACCGGAAGCATCGCAAGATCTTGATGCTCACAGGACCTCCTGGACTTGGAAAGACCACTTTGGCCCACGTCTGCGCACGACAAGCCGGTTACGAAGTCCAAGAAATCAACGCCTCAGATGAGCGAAGCCGTGATGTTGTGAAAGGCCGTATTCGTGATATGGTCGGCACTGAAAACGTCCGAGGCGTCAACACCAACACCGCGAACGGGAAAGTCCGAAAGGCGGGGAAACCAGTTTGCGTTGTTGTGGATGAAGTAGATGGTGTTGTAAGTGGTAGTGGAGGTGGCGGCGAAGGTGGATTCATTAAAGCATTGATCGACCTCATCAATTTGGACGAGAAAAATTCGCGAATGGTCGGCCAACAGGACCCCACAGCGCCAAAGACGAAAAGAAAGGGCGACAAGTTCCGATTGCTACGACCACTCATTTTGATCTGTAACGATGTATATCATCCGTCTCTCCGCCCTCTTCGCCAGTCCTCGGTTGCTGAGATCATTCATATCCGCAAACCGGCCTTGAACATGGTTGTTTCACGCATGCACTCGGTTTTCGAGAAGGAAGGCATCCCTTGCGATTTGGATGGCGTCCGTCGTCTGTGTGAGGCCACATGGGGCGTCAGTACGAAGAAAGAAGGCAACACTGGCAGCGGGACCAACGAAGGTGATATACGTGGCGTCATGGTTGTCGGCGAATGGGTTGCGGGCAGGCTGCGGGCTTCGATGGCCTCCCATACGAACAATCTCCGACTCACAAGGAGGTGGATCGAGGACAATGTCTTAAATGATCTGACTCACGGCGGTGGAGCGGCCAGAAGCTTAGGACGTGGCGGAGCTAAAGATGTAGTCGACCGCGTCTTCCGCGAAGGAGCTGGCTTCCCCAGGCAAGCTGAAACTAGCATTGTAAGTCATGGGAAGCAAGGTGTTATCGGT